CCTGCCATTGGATTCCTTGTTGGTGTGACAGTATAGGGATTACTGTATATGGGAGATGGTTGACGTAGGCGATCTTTTGGCAGAGGAGGGGGCATCATCTTCCGCGACATCAATACTGCAATTTCAACAGCATATTTTCCATGTTCTCTCGATGGTTGACCACGGAGCGGATTTTCACCTTTCTTTTTCTCTTCCAGCTCTTTGAGCAGGGTCGACTTTTCATTCTCCAGTTCTTCAACAATGACCGGATCTATGACCTCCTGAACATTTATAGACGATTAAACGATTAAGCCACACAAATTGAAGAGTGACGTACCACAGAGCTTTCAGATGGCGTTCGCAGCAGAGTGCTGCGTCTACTCAATTTCGGCATGTCTTTTGCTTTCACTTGTGATTGCAGATACGCCTCGAGTTTTTCTTTCTCTCTCAACGTCTCCTCTAAGTTCATAATCTCATCTTCTAATTTACTCTGAAAAAAAAACAGTTCGATTTTGAAGCAAAATTCCAATATAGTCACTGAGGACAAGCTTTTCCTCACAATTCGCTCTTCGTTGACGCCGAGCTTGCTCCGCCATCTCCTGACACATTTCCTTGGAATGTTCAGCTTCATTCTTATAACGCTCAATCTTCCCCACTGCTTCCGCCAATCCACTGCGCAACTTTTTGTTGTCGTTGGCGACTTCTAATTCACGTGTGGCACCAGCAGAAACCTGAATACGATATCCACCATGTAAAAGCTAATACTCGTAATGAACCAAATACTCCTATCTTGCGAAATCACAAAACAAATCATCGTTGCAGAGAAGATTCTCAAATGAAGCAGTGTAGTGTGCTTAGCCCTGTTCATAACTCGCGATTTGCGAAATCAGGCGACCCAGCGATTGCATGATTAAAGGAGGATTTCACGATAAGAACGAAGGTCGAAGAAGGGGAAATTGCCTAGTGGGGAGACAGGCGGACCTCCTGAGGGTGCGGACTGACGCGCAATTGGCAGCGAAAGATTTGACCTCGGCGATCTAGCATGGCTCACTCTTGGCGCGGTTGGCGGGGTACGCCCACCGACTATCTAATCACTCGCCGCAGGTCTATACGTGATTAGATAGCAGAGAGAGCGTAGTGTTGAAGAGGGCACAGCGATGAGAGTCGCATCAATGCGCAAATCAACGGGCAAGGAAGGGGTCCCATTTCTCGGGTTCTGGGCCGTTTCTCATGGTTTTTCCTTCTTTCGTGTACCACTCACCATCCCTAGGTTAATTTGAAATGGGTTTTTCTTCGTGAATTCGTCCTTTAACAAGCAGTCCCAGCAGGATTTTTACCTTCGACATTAATGGTGTGGAACGATGTACTAGGCCTAGTCAAGAACATAAGAAGTGTGATTGAACAAAAGTGATTGAACAAAAACTCACCTTGGAAAGCCTAGAAAGGGAGCTGAACGGCTTCGAAGTGGGCGTGGTTGGAATCGGCCGAGGGGATTGCAGCCGATTGCAACCACGCCCACTTCGAAGCCGTTCAGCTCCCTTTCTAGCGGCTTTCCAAGGTGAGTTTTTTGTTCAGTCACACTTCTTATGTTCTTGACTAGGGCTAGCGCATCGTTCCACACCATTAGTGTCGAAGGTAAAAACCCTGTTGCTCTAAGTGATTCCGCTAAATAAAGGGTTCAGGTATTGAAGAACTGCACAGTCGTAGGATCGCCTGACCGCTGAGTCGCCTAACCATTTAATCGCAAAGGCGCTGAAGCCGAATGAGACGTAACCTATTATAAACGGTGTCTTACTGTTAGCATCAGTTGATCTACGCAAGAGTCAGTCGCTCGCCTGGACTTACGACAACCTCCCCTGTCAAAACTTCACATATATTAAGCTACATCATACCTGTTCCTGCAATTTCTCATTATCCAGCTTCAGTTCCTCCAACTGCCGCTTTAAGCTGCGAGATGTGCTCTCCATTTGAGCCAGCTTCGTATTCAATTCGTCGATCTACAATATAGAGAGAAAAAAATCACACTCAGCAGTACAGATATCACATTTGGACCCAGATATGAATTGCACAAAAACTTACCTTCTTTACATAGCTCTCGTTATCAGTAACATCCTTGTGTTTAGTTTCGCTAATCTGCCGCGCCAGCTGGGCTAATTCAGCTCGATAATCGTTATGAGTTTCACGGAGTTCATCCTAAACTATTTGCTCTAAGGAGGACAGAAGGAGAAGATAAATCAAAAGTAACCCACATTAAGATAACGGATTTTCATTTCTAAACGGTCCTTCTCTGCTCTCAGCTGATTAACCTCGACCTCGGATGACCTTTGGCGTTCAAGTTCGCGTTCTGTTTCGCGCAACTAAACATTCAAGGGTAAATATAGTGAGTAGAATTAAGATTTAGGCCAGAATAAACCACCAATTTTACCTTGGTCGCCATCCGCGAACACTCATCCAATGCCTTCTGTCGAGTCACTTCGGCTCGTATCTTGAGCTCCTGCAATTGAAAGCTCTCACTGGCAAAGACATAACACTATAAAACAATCAAC